AAAAAGGAGAAGGTGCTAGATTGTAGAAACTGCAGCCCCTCTGTGCTGCTGCCAGTAACAGGGGATTGAAAGAGCAGCTGAAGGTGCTCTGTGAAAGCAAGATATTTCTCAACTCTTGATTTCATGTGAATGGAAGCAGCAGGCAGTGACCTGCAGCAGACTTGTATTCAGATCAAGTCTGAATTATTTGCATAGGTTACTGATGAAGCATGTGAAGAAAGGACTTACAAGTGTAACTTAAAGTAGCTGCAACTATAAATCCAACTGCAAGCAGATTAAGGTTTCTAGAATCTGTTTCTTTTTGTTATTATCTGAATGTTTTGCATAAACATTTAATGCTCATGAATTGATTGCATTAGATAGGGCTGGATTAAATATCTTTTGTAGTGGTTGCCTGAGAGACAGGCTAAGAGGGCATCTCTAAGTCTTCACTTCCTTTTTTGACTGGTTAGCATTTTTATATTTTGCCTACATATATGAACTGGAAGACAGCTTGTCTGGGCTTTCGCTTGACAGCAGTAGGATGAAGGGAGATTGGTCCAGCTCAAAGCTCTGTGAAAGACTTACCTGCTCATTTCTAATGTAATATTAATTTACCTTTTTCTACACTTAAGGGGGGGAGGTAGAAAGCAAATGTTTTTTCTAAGTAGATGTAAACACCTGCTAGAAATAGAGCAATCTGATCTTTAATTTGATTAATCTTCTCTCTGCAAGGTCTCTCTGAGATTACTGCCTTGGTGTTGTATGAAAAATACTGTACCTTTTTCTATATTACAAAAACATCATTATACATCAATTATATAGAAATGCTGTTCCAAATGCTCTTGAAGTTTAATGGAAGGCTTACCTTTGCTTCAACAGGCCTTTCCATTTAGTGTGGTGTGATTTGGATCAAACTCCTCTTAAAAACAAACACTGAAGATGCTCCAAAAGTAAGTTTTCAGGAATGTTGGCAGGCCCTTTCTCCCACCAACAGCCTCATTCTTGTGTTTCAGACGAAGAGACTGAAGGAGTAATGAACTTGTATGAGCTGTATTTACAAGCTGAAAAATGTTTGTTTTACTTTCTAAGCAGATTGACTACCTTGCTGAACCATTAAACAAAATAAAACTGGGAGGAAAACAATCCTGGTCTTCATGAAGAAGGTACTTGTGGAAGCAAGGGAATAACTGGCTAAGGCTGTATGCAGTCCCAACAGTGATCACATAGTATCACAGCTATCAGCATTTGCCTTCTCTGATACTCAGCCAGAAAGAACTCCTTCATGATATTTGATGCTAGGCCATTATAAAGAAACACTATAAACTCGAAATTCAGGCTTGTTTTAATGTGTTGCTCATACACTTGGCAGGCTTTGGACCCTTTTCAAAACAGCTTTGTTTGGGGGTTTAAATAAGCAAAACAGCCAGGTTTTTGTTACATGGATGTGGGGGGCCTGCTGTCTTCCCAGTAGGGAAGGCATCTCTGGAGACACACACTAGTGTCATTAAACTTAGGTATTATTTCCCAGTTTTTAATGCAATTCTGTAGTGAGCAGTGTCCTGTAGAGTAGGATACATAATGTGACCCCTCTCCAACTGGCTGAAGCTGGCTGCTGCTGCAAATAACAAGCTCCCTCCAAGGCGTTGTTGCACCTAATCAGCTTGAGTTGGGTTTTCTTCCCTCGAGGGCTCTTGCTCTCCCTCTACCAGCGGTGACTAGTGAACCTGCCCTCTTGTGCTGGGCGCATTCTTATGCTGCACCAAGTATTTCAGCAGCTTGCAGCTGAGTCTTTCTGCTCTGCTCCAGTGAATATGCTAGTAGTATTCCCAAAGTAGTATTGGGCAATGGATTTCCAAAGACTTTGGCAGAATCCTTAAAGGATTGGACTCAATATTAAGCAGAAGAGGTTTGGCATGAAGTTCTGCATGACTCAGTTCTTGTTTCCCAACAGTCCCAAATGCAAGCCCTCTGCTTACGCTGACACGTTGCTTTTGACGAGCTTATACCTGCACCAAGGCAAGAAGCCTTTACAAGTTTTAGGAGTTGTATCTTGCTTCTTGGCTGAAGAAATAAGGAACAGAAACAAAAAAATGCTAGTGAGTTTTGGTAAGGATTTTTGTAGGGAGGGGAAAATGATGATTTATCAATGATGAATCATCTGAAATACACAACATTAATTTAATAGTAAAGTCACCATCCCTTTCCAACAAAATTAAGTTAATTATTATTTCTAAAAGATTAGGGACAGTAGGGGGGAGAGATGTTTAACAAGATGACCTTCCAAAGTTCATGGAAGTAATTTCTCAATAAAGGCTAAAGATAAGATCAGAACTTGTGGGACAAACATGCCTCCCGAATAAATGCAGTATGCCAATAGTTTAAACACAGAAGACAAAGTTCAACAAGCTTGCTGTGATAGGCTATTTGGTTTAGCTATTCACATATATTTTAGGAAGCAAATGACTGCATAGTGGATGAATATACAGAAGTTTGTGTAGAAGCTGCCTTAGAATTGCCACATCTTGGAGTGGTGTGAAACTGAAAAATAAGTTATCTATAAAGATGCAGGAATACTTAAGTCATTGATTGTTTCTATGTTGGCCTATTACAGAGGGATTGTTGGGGTTGTCCAGAAAGGATGAACAATGCAAGCTACAGTCTATCCTGGTGATGCTGAAGGGTTTAGCAATAGTGTAGTAGAACAGATACCCATTTAAAACAGAACATGCCTGAACAGTGCTTGGGAATGTCACAGGATGCTGCATGGCTGAGGAAACTGCAGATGTCTTGAAGGGTTTAAAAAAAAAAAAACCTCAGAATGTGAATTCTCTCTGGTGGAACATATTTTAAAACTTAAAGTGGAGATTGCAAATAATTATAAAAAGTCACTTAATCTATTCTATTAGAATCTCCTAGTGCAACAAAAAATCTGGGTAGCTTTGTGTAAGAGTGACCCAGGGGTCGAAGTGCAGGCCAGGAGATCTGGGTTTACTCCCTGGCTCTGTTGCGACAATCACCGAGCAACTTAGATAATCTCTACTTTTTCTGTGTCCCTAAATGATCGAAAGTGTTTCTTTGACACCCAGTCACACCTATGGAATACTTTTATTACAAAGACATACCATCTTAAGACTTGAACTTTTCTTTATGTTGTGAAATTCTCCTACTGTTTTGTTTGAGGATTTCTGCTATTGCATGCATTCATTTATGTGCCACTCATTTATTTGATCAGACTTATTCCTTTCTGCTACGCTTCTGTGTATTTGTGATGAACTGCTGTGCAATCTTTGAGTGCACTCTCAGGACAGAGCTTAGTAATGACACTTATTTTTAATGATGTTCTAGGGCTAAGATGAGTACCATGAGCAGAGCAAGTTTGCTTTTTCTCAAGTGGCAGAAAAAGGAGAAAAAGATCAAGCCTTTATATTGAATGTACTTTACTATCAAGATATGACAGTATCCTAAAGCTAAGTGGTACTCATAATCTTGTAGCAATGCTTTCTGGGAAATTAAAAAAGCATAATTTTTCAAAAAATATATTCTATTCAATTTTATTAATAAAACTGGTGAAAAACTTCATGAAATTGAAGGATGTGATAAGCTTGCATGATTCTGTAGACACATGCAACTTGAAACATTTTTGCTAAAGCTACTCTTGTCTTTTCCTTTAAGATCACTGACCACTGTAGCATTTGACCTGAAGTGTGAAGCTCTGATTCAGCAACAAATTTAAGGATACGCTTAGTCTTAGGCATTGTAACAAGTCGTTTCCTCAGCAGAAGTACTTGATCACATGCCTACCCTAAAAGAGTGCAAGTGCCTCTTTGAAAACATATATGCTTAAATTCAAATCAAAATCCATAAAAGTAAATCAAGATAACTTTTCAGGGTTGGTAATTATAGTTTTGTTATCTTGCAAAGTTTGAGTGAACTGCATTTTTTTCGATTTCTCAGAACAGTTGTGCTCCTAACTGCAGTTTGTATTGACAGGCTGAATTGAACCGTTAGTGGCAGGTGTGCTCATGATTCTGGTACTGTTTTTGGTAGGCAAAATAAGAAAAAAGAATTTCCTTTTTGAATGGAGTGAAATGTGTTACTTTCTTGATTTTCAACTTTCAAATTTAAGTTTTAGCATCTTTTAAAAATCACTTAAAAGTGAAGTAATGAAATATGTTTTCTTAATGTTAAAATATAATATTTAGAAACTTTTGAAATGTTTATAAACTTGTCACTGAATTTATGAGTAGCTCTCTCCTGACCGGGGAGGAGGGGAAACCATTTGTCCAGAAATTGTTCTTTGCTCTCTGGAGTCTTAATCCTTTTCTACTGCAAATAAAAAGCCTCTGGTGAAACTTTAAGTCTCAGCTGATGTTTAGAGATGCATTTTTGCAGTGGCAGTCAGCATGCGGGTATGATTCTGGGCCAGGAGCTGAGTTCCTAAACGTCACAGAAGTTGCTGATGGCTGGATGTACTACTTGCTTTTTCCAAGGCGCTGACTTTGCAGTGTGTTGTTATGCTGGGCACTGGACAGACATCTAGAAATTATGGCTTCTGTTTTAGAGTTTACCATATCCAGGGATGTCAACAAATGTGTTGACCAAAGCCCTAAGGCTTACTGGTGCTACTGAGGCATTTATATGTCTATATCTGTCTGGCTTTTCTTTCACGTTCACAAGTACAAAAGCTTGTAATTAAGCTCAGTGAGCTCTATAAGGGCAAGAAAAGGATAGGG